CGGGACTGTCACAGTACTAGAGTGTAAGACCCTGGAGGTTCACTCCTCTGCTTCTTGCTCCCTGATTTAAGTTCATGAACACAGTGTTTGTCTTCGGAGTGACATCCCTAACGCAACGTTCCTTTTGCTTTCAGGTTGAGGAAGAAGAGCTAAGCTTGTGTGGAGCTTAGTTCATCAGCATTTTATTCTGGGTAATAAAAAAAATAAAATAAAATGGATACCTGTTTTCCACTGCTAAAACTGAAGCACCACTGTGTGAGAGCAACAGGAGAAAGAAACCAACCAACGGAGAGGAGAGAGAGAGAGAGAAAGGAGCGCGCGAGAGAGCCCACTGCTAGCTCACTGAGACAAGGAGACTGACCGGAGAGGAGAGAGAGCACCGAAGGACTGGCTGGCGCCTCACTGGGGGGGCAACTCACCCTGGAATGAGTGGTCAGCCCAGTCCCTGCTCCCCCAGTCCAACACGCTCGAGAGAAGGGCCTTAAGCAGGTTTCACTTCATTCCACACTTCTCTTTGCGAGCAGGGCATTACTTTTCAGAGCAGATGGGGAGAGGAAAACCCTCATCTCAGAGTTGTTCTCGTTTTAAAGGGGTACTATATTTTAGCAGTAACTGTTTACATTTTAGAAGCAGAGTGTCTGAGAGAGAGAGGGAGAGTTCCTGACTAAGTGACAGCAAAGCCAAGCAGAAATCCAGCGGAACGTAGCTGATGCTCAACTCTGAGATGCAGGTTTTGTTGTCCAACGCTGGCTCTGAAATCCTAGTGTCATCGTGTCGCCCACATTCTGAACGGGTCTTTCGTGACAGGGTGGTTTTAAAGAGATTCTTTCAAAGGAGCGCTGAATTTTTAGAAGTTTGTCTCTGAATTCTTAGTGGTGGACCTGGGAGATCCTTGTTCTGAGAAGCTTACAAAAAGTTTAAACCAAAACTAAATTAGAGCACCAACCTTGAGAACTTTCAGTGTGATTTAAAGTTGCAGCAATCAGCCTCTTCTTCCTACATTGGATAGCAGTTAGAGTGGAAGGAGCCTGCGCGCTCGAGCAGGAGGAGGGTTTCGAAGTGTTTTCCGTATGCTTTAATTGGCTACTGTCTGGACTCTACTCTGTGAAAAACAAGCCTTTCTGTAAGATGAACTTTGCGCTTGAAAGGGGATGGGTTCCTGTGCCCTTCGGCCCTGGAGGAAAGATGCTGACAGGCCTGCTTTACTCCTCCCTCAGACCTGGGGAAGAAGTAGTGGAAACTGGGGATTATATTGGTTTCGAAGCAAAGACTCTACAATGTTACCGAAGCAGGTTGGCAAAATGGACAAAGCAGGCAGTTGTGGGAAGGTGGCCTCTGGTAGCTGGGTATAATTAGAGATACTGGGTTAGGCTTTTGTGGGGCTTCTTCGGTGACTAACGCAGATGGCCGAAAGATTCAGGTGTTGAAAACCAAACCCGGAGCCTATTTTTCAGGTAGCGGACGCGGCTGTGCCATCAATGCTGGCTCGAGAAATAGCTGGAAGTCAAAACTGGTAACAGCACTTCAGAGAAGCCATCCAATTTCTAAGTTGTACCCATGTCTTAAATAAGTCATATGGGAACACTGGGAGCGTTTTATTTGTGTCTAAACCTTTTTAGAAACAGCGCAGAGAGTTTAAAATTCCTACAGACCCATTTTTATCGGATCCCTAAATTAGACTAACCTCTACCTCCCAATTGGCAAAGATCAGTAGAGTGTGATTCACCAACGTAGGTGTTTTTAAAGTTTGAATTAAGTTAGCTTTATACTCAAAGGGCTCCAAGTGTTTCTAGTCTTTTTTTTGGGGGAACTCAAAATACCTCTCATATGAATGTACTTAAATGACATAAACCCCACTTTTTGTACCTGGGGGGGAAAAGCCCTTTCATTACTGTCCTTTCTGTAGATCGTTGACCCGCTTTCATGACCTGTATTTGCTGTAGTTTTCCAAGAGTGTCTCTCCCCCAGCGCAGACCTGGTGTAAGCGTACCCACGAACCGTGAGTAGCGTGCACACGAACATGGAACAGGTGTTCAAAATTTTCGTTCGGTCCTGCAGCGAACATAGTTCGAGAACTGCAAAAGAAACTTGCCAGAAGTGGAAAAAAAAACCATTCTTTTCTCATAAAAAGCCTCCAGAGTTTAGACTTCTAAAACGTGAAAGAATGGAGACACAGGCCACCTTCCTTCCTTGTACGATGGACTGTTTTATTTATTAACATTGCCGAAGGGCTTTTTAATTTTTTTTTTTCCTTCTGTAGGCTGCGTAGTTGCATAGACTTTTCCGATAGGTTGAAGCTGTAACCCTCTGTGCAATGCAATCCATTGAGTAACGTAACCCCCTCCTCTCCCCTCACCCCCTTTATCTCACTGCTGGGAATGTTTGCCTCTGCTTTGTGCTGGTTTTTTCCTTTGTAGCAGTTAACTCTGAGTTTTATAAATCCAGACATCAGTGCTAGCACGGTGTTAACTCTTTTTTGATTTTGTCTCAGTTTGTTTTAAACCTGTTTGTCATCAATAAAATATTAATAAACAGCTCTTGCATTCAAGGTGGCCGCTAACTTTCAATGCTGAAACCATGCAACATTCATTAAAACTTTAGTCTGATTGTATAAACTTCAAGTTTATTACTTTTTTTTTTTAAACACAGACTAGTACAAAAGTGTGGGGTGTGCACAGCGTACAGGGGTAAGCAAATGAACTGTGGAAACTCTGTTAATTGCCCTGGCTTTGGGGTGGGGGAGCTGCAGGAGGTACCCAGGCTGGTTCTAGAGGTGCCCAGTCCAGCCTGGAGCTTTCCCCGGCGCTGCAGTAGGCATGGAAATGGTGTTTACCTGTGTTGGAGGTGGTCGCTCAGCAAAGCTGGGCCTGGCACTGGTCCTGGCACCTGAGATGACCCAGGCTGCCCCAGGAATGGCTCAGTGTCTGCTGGAATGGAGCTTGGGTGCTGAGGCCTGGCCGTGGCACCACCCTGTGTTACTCCAGGGCTGTCTCTGTGTCTGGTCATGGCCATGACCCACCTCACCCCCCTCCCCAGACTTAGTGCTCAGATGGGGTGGCAGAGGGGGACAGTAACCAGGTCAGCTGAGCCCTTCAGCCCCTCATCTGCCCCAGCACAGGTACCAAAAAAACCTCGTAGGTGAAGGTTCTCTTAATCCTGCCTGTCTTAAGGTTGGAAGAAACGGCTCCTGCTTGCTTTAGTGAAGTCCTACTTGAAGCCCTTAGAACATGTCAGTGCTGGGAATGGTTTTGGAACAGCTGGAGTGACATGGGGCTGACCCACCCTGCAACTCGGCGCTGTCGAGAACATATTTGAATGTAAAAACATGAGTTTGCCCCACAACCGAAGCCCAGGGCTGCTCCACACGTGGGCTTTGTTTGTCCGTCAGCAAAAGCGCTGTCCGAAGGGACAGGAGCACATTTCCTCTGCCACCCCACAGTGGTTCAACCCTCGGCGCTGCCCCGGAGGGAGCAACAACATCAGTACAAAAACAACAAAATAATAACCTCGGCTCTGGTGTCAGGTTCACATTTTAAAAAAAAAAATACACCAAAAACCACGAAAGCTTCAAGTCTAATTCAGAATCCTTTTTGTTCTGCTCTTACCTCCCAAAAATTCAAAGCTGCAGCAGGAAAACCTCACATGGAAGGGTCAGTGTTTTGCATCGGGCAGCACAGGGAAGGGCTCAACAGCTTTGCTCAGGCTTTAACCCTCTGGCTGCCACTTGCTGAAGGGTGGAAGAAAAGTAGCAGCTCCTCTGGCAGTGCCAGGCCAGGGTGGCAGCACTCAGCTCTTCACCGCACCGCTCTGCTGCCTCGTTAGTGGCATTAAACAGCCTCGGCGAGAGCACGGCCGTGCCAGCACCAGGCTGGTACCAGAGCCAACAAAAAAAAATCCAACACATAAAAAAACACCCAAACCAAAAAATAACCTCAAAACACGCACCCACATGGACATGGTGCCTGACATGGCAGGGCTGTAACGCTGCTGCCCGACCCTCTGGTGCCATCTGGCTCCAGCTGCAGGTCAGGCTGGTCGCATCAATTTGCAAACGAGG